CCGTTTTCGCTATTTTCAAAAGCGTCTTCCCTGGGATTCGAACCTTGAGGAATATACCATTACCATTTGGAGAGGGTAACGACTAGACCACTTCACTAAGGCGCCACACCTCCTATTTTTTGTTTCTTATCGAAGACGAAAAATATATAAACAAATATAAACATATAAAATTTTTACTTTGATTTCGTTTATCATAATTCTTCATGCATTCTTGACAAATATTAATAATATCTTGGTCACTTGAAATCCTAACCAAAAATTCATTTTTAAACCAGTCAATTATATTTTAACTTTTTAATAACGGCACCTGTTCGAGCAATATACAGTATCTGTTATAAAAGTCTAATTTATATTCGATTCCTTCTTGTTAAGGTATATTGGTTAACATGAACAATTTTTTCCGTAAATTTTCGTATAAACTAAAGCACACCAAACATTTTTGGACAAGCTAATTATTTTATTATACGGATTATGCCGAATCAATAACTTAACCGGATCGGTGTCCCGGGAATTATGATAATATGGTTCACGTCACTTATAGTCATTAAAGAAAATTCATATAAATTCAAATAGCTTTTTGTCTTTTAATTTAAGTAATATTAAAAATATAAACTGTAAAAACAGTAAATTCGATGCTGCTCTTTCAGATTTATAGCTTATTTTTTTCTGTAATTTGTTATTTTGTAAAGTATTAAAGGTCAAAGTTAATTAATTTCTCAAATTTTGAAATAAATATGAAAATTTCTTAGATGACATGAATTTTTGACCAATAATAAGCAAGACATGTGACCAAATCTGATAAAAATTTCAGAATAATCTACATTTTTGATGAGTATAGATGACATAATAAACCAGAGCCAGAAATCGCTATAATAAATAAAGCTTTTCTGTCTGTTAAACTGGGGCAGAAATTGTCTTATGTAGATAGAAATTTCCATAATTTTACAATAAGTTTTGTGCCCTGATTCATATGCTTCATTTTTAAACTTTTTTTCTAAAGCTCCCACAAAAACTCTGAATAAAAATTCCCTATCTCTTACTACCGTTTTAAACGCATCAATTTGCTCACAACCTATAACCAAATTATATAGTCATAGGTAATTATTTTTGAATTCGGGCTGAAATGTTATTATGTTATATATAAATTGGTTCGGGTTCAAAAATAATTACCACATTGATAATTTTGTGATGATTAATATACCTATATCTTTGCTTTGCACTGAACAACAACTTCATTCCAAAAACTTTCACAATAATATCTCATCCTAAATTAATTATTTAATGAATATATATTTCATCATCATATATAGCTGGGGCCAGCATATATCTTATTTGTCATTAAATCCGGTAGGGTTAATCTATTTCCAGACATTGATAACTGAGAAGAATGTTCAATGCCGAAACAGTGGCCATGATGCGCTTTCGATTCTTAGATAATTTACATTGATGTGATAGTGTAACTTCAGATACATAATGACTCGATATATTATTTAATAAGAAAATTTGCCCAATATGCATAATAACAGCACCAAATTCTTCAAATTCTCTTAACATCATGACACAAAACAATTGTAATGATTCTCCTTTGATATGAACAAACACGATTCCTTGAGGCATTTTTTTTGTGTTAGTAAATACCGTAAAAGCTTTTATTTATATCAGTTTTGTATCCCATTACTCCTTTTTTGCTAGAATGAAAAACATGTTAGTATTACTTAAATCATAAGAATTTTATATATGTTTCCAATCGCATATCAAAAAACAGGAGGAAACGTCCAAATATAGGGATCGCTAAATCTTTGTACCTACATAATTTTTGAAGTTTTAATTGTAATTAGGGTTAGGGTTAGTTTAATGTTAGAGTAAGAGAGTTTTGTAGATAAAATTGTCTCCTCAGCATTTTTTATTAATGTAACAAGACAGGTTTAGACTTTTGTTTTTCATATTTTTGCATTTTTTGATTTTTTGACTTCTTCGGGCTGATCCATGTAAACAAATTTCATGATTTTGATTGGTTGATCTACATATAAAAAATCACATGGGTACAAGGCTTTAGCAGACCCCCAAATATAGGGGACGTCTAAAGCGGAGTAGAATCACGTGACCACATGATCAAATTTTATTTGTCAGATGAGACAATAATCGTGA